AGGAATGCCAGTACTAGGATTATTGTGGGTATCCAGACAAAAGTCTTTTCCAACCCCCTGATAATGGCAAGCCATTGCTTGGCTCCTGCAGAGAAAAACAAACATCCCGATCTCATAGGCAATGGATGGTTGAGCTGAGTACAACATTATTTACTAGTTTCTCATAAAAAGATGGCCATAAAGGCATTCTCTATAGTAGCAGAGAGGATATATCGGATAAAGATTCTTGGAGGAAAATTTTTGTTGAATGAAATCTTTGATCCGTGGTATCTTGGCATAGGATTAACCACAAATGATTGATGGAAGAAATAATGGCAGCCTGTGAGAAGAGCTTGAAAGAAAGTTATGTTCCCATTTTGATTTTGTAGGATTGTTCAGTATGGAGAATTGGCTTCCTCTGGGCAGTGTGGTAATTTAATGCTCTATTAGCTGGCCATTATCTGTTTATACTTAATGAAATTTAGAAATATGGGTGAGGAAACTCAAAAAGTGATGAGCTGGCCTCTTAGCAACACGATGTCTTTAGAAATTCTGTGGTTCACTGAAGGATCCCCACACCACTTCTCTGGGATGAAACAGAATAGGTGTCTTTAGTTTTGTTTATTACAAGTTTTACTTCCTCTTCCTTATATTTCTTTTTTTTTGTCTTATATTTCTTTTTTTTGGTCTTGTATTTCTTTTTTTTTTGTCTTATATTTCTTTTTTTTTGGTCTTATATTTCTTTTTATTATAGAGGTAGGTCTTGAACTGCCGAAAGACCTAGCCCATTTTGCCTTCACTGATAAGTTGATAACCCCTCTGTCTAATCCTACTTTGAAACAAGGCACTTTCTTTGTTTCTGTTGAGAGTTAATTACCTAGGCTGTCACACAGCCCAAGGAAAAATGATATTTCATACGGTGGTGGAATAGAACTCTTTGGAGAACTGCCTAAGAAATGCTTCTCATAAATCTATCATGAGAAAATTTCTTTTACTTATCATAATGTATTATAAATTGCTTTGAGTGGCAACCTAAGCAGGTGGAATAGACTATTAGTGGGATATTTGCGAGTTTCATTTGGAGGAAAAAAGCAAGTCTATTTTGGAAATATTTGTATATGTGTGTGCATGGGTGTAATCTCAGGTGAGAATACAAAAACATGCAAAGTTGAAATATCTCAAACATGCGAACACCACTGTAATGGATTGGGTCAGAAATAATTAAGATGCCAAATTCCAGTGCCTTTGGAGCTGCAAATGGAAAGGCAACACAACACAAGATACGAGGTAGCAGAGTAAACCAGAGCGTACCATGTGGGGACAGTTCTGCAGCTTTAGGGAAGAGTTACAGCGTGAGTTACTGGGGAGAAATGATTGCGGCTGGGGGGGTGGGGGGGGGCTGCCATAAAGGAAGAGGGAGCAGCACCATCACGAAGTAAAAAGAGAGAAGAAATAAAGCATCGTTGGACTGAAGGAGGGAACTACTGTTGTTCCTAGCTTTTTTTAAGGCACTGTTTACAAAAACAACATCGGTATTTCTTGTACTTCTAGAAGGAGGATATTCTCTGGTTGGGGATGCGTAAATAAGTCTGAAACCTTTCTTGATACTGACTTCAGCATGAAGACCAAGGGGGAAGCAGTGTACTGCTGCGGTGGGTCGATGCTCAGGATGTAACGCAGTCTTGGTTTGGAGTCAGCAGTAGATGCGGACACATCAGAGCTGGTAAATCCAGCTCCAGGCCAGAAAAATCTCCATGCCTCGGCCTTGGCATTTCCCAGTTGTCTGGGGTTTTGGAGGAAAGCTGCTTCTGGGTTTTTGAAGGTTTTTTTCCCCTCTGCTGCAGTGACTGTCACCTTGATAGAGAGTGGGGAAACCCTTCTTAAAAGAGTAATTGAATGAGCTAGTTTGGTATTCTGTAGGTAAGGAATATAGGGGGGGTGTTAGTGCAATGAAAACCAAACAGAAAGAAAGGGCGTAAAAATAAGAAACATCAGAAATATGGTAGGGTTGAAATTCAATTATTTCCATGACCATCATTGCCAGAGCTGTCAGAGGGCCAAAGCCGCCTGTAATAAAGGCTGATTTTAGCAGTCACTGACTTTCAGGGTCTAACATGAAATCTCTTTTTTGCTTAAATTAAAATAATACATACAGGCATGACAAGCAGGTAATAGAAACTCAAGGAGAGCAAAGGCAGCACGATAAGCAGGAAGGTACGGGAGCTGTTTCACACTGCCGACCTGAGACTGATGCCAGTAATTTCCTGGAGAACCCAAGGGTGGGGCCACCCTCCGCTGCCTTTCTGCATGCCAGGAGCTCCATGATCAGTGCTGGGCTCTGCGAAATCTCTTGTCCCACATGCCATCTCCTAAACCAGCTGTGGGGTTGTGCCTGTATGGAGGAACCTTGTTTTTTTCCCTGAGAAACCCTGTTGGGTTTTAATTCAGCAAGGTGTTGGTCCTGCAGGTGTCTGGTATTCTGATTTTAAGAGGTGATGGCCTTGGGAGGACTTTTATGTCAAGCCAGGTTAAGGTGAAAGCAAAGCTTTTAAAAATGCCATTTATGAAACCCCGGATACACAAAATGGTTGAAAAGATGTATAGAGAGAACTACTGGAAAGAAGTGGGAAGCAGGTTTCCTCTGCTTCTCCCAAGAACAAATCCCACACTGCTCCAGCTGGCAGGTGGCTGGTGGGACCCTTGCCCATCTTGTGGGAGCTGCCAGGATCACAGCTCTGGTGCCTCCACCATCCTCTGGTTCTGTCTACTGGGAAGGGAGCCTCCTGCTTCCCACCTGTGCCAGCCCTGGAGATGGCTAGTGTAATACTAAGAGAGTACAAAATTACTAAGCTGTATGCTTAGTTATCCAGAATTCATTATAGCCCCAATCTCACAGGCAAGATAATCACCACCTCTTGGTGACCATCAGCTTCGCAACAGATACTTTTGCAGGTTGGGTCCTTTACATCAGTCAGTTTTATCATGGCCTTCCTAATGACCAATGGACTAAATCAAGTAGAAATTATTTTTAGTCGCTGCTGTTCTTTACAAATAATATCATAATCTTGCACTGGGAAGGCATTGTCAGTCTGCCAAATGTCTTCTCCTTAAGAAGTTCTCATTTTGTGTTGATGACACGGATTGCAGTGAGACATCAGAGGATCGGAGTTCATTAGTTGCAGTGATTAAAACCTTTCTTAAATTTTTGGTTTAGGTTACATTGAAGAATCTTGCACGGTCCCTTGCCCGTTTGATTGCAAATTAAGCGATTGGTCCAGTTGGTCCCCTTGCAGCTCTTCTTGTGGACCGGGGGTGAAAGTCCGATCCAAGTGGCTTAAGGAGAAGCCTTACAATGGAGGTCGTCCCTGCCCAAAGCTGGATCTCAAGAATCAGGTGAGCAGCATTAAATAGCCAACAGAAATCTCTCTGTGCTTGCTGTATTTTTAATTGTGATCAAAAGGTACTGTGCTGGTGAAGAAATTAAAAATAAGCGTTATCTCTAGGACCACACCTCGTGTCAGACTTTGTAGGCAATCCTCAAACTTCTTGAGGATCGAGGGGGAGATGCTCATATGTAACAGCAGAATTTGACCTGAAACACCATATGTCTTATGCAAAGACATTTTTATCTCCCAGAGCACAGGAAGCCCTGGACGAATAATCCCACCTGGACAGTGTATAAGCATCACAGAGCTCAGATGTCATGGATATTTCAAAAGTCTTTAATTCTCTCTGAGACTATGGTTGCTGTAAAAATATTTGATAGATATATATTGCTATTTTTAGCAACATTTCCCTTCAACACAACACAAGCTGCCTTGAACATTAATCTCTGTATGTTCAATATTGAAGTATCCCATCAGAGGAAAGTAATCGCTAAATTGCTACTCTTTAAAAAAGATCATCATCTATTTAAATTCTATTTAATTCTGTACGCATTTCTGCAAAACTAATAGTGATTTCCTACATTTGCTGATTAATTCTCAGCACTAATTAATACTGATGAAGTTCTATTAAGTTTTGCCTTAGAGTCAACTATGAACATTAATAGGACAGAAACAGCCATGCTGAAGGGCTTCATGTATATGTTATGAGAATATATATATAAATATGTTGCATAGTATGTGTAGAAGGACTTTAAAAGATTTATTTGTGTAGTGGCTTGTAGGTGCTAGAGCTGGTGGATCCAGTTGTTTTTCTGTGCAACCATTGCTGCGGCAGTCGTGTCCCGGGATGCAGCACCACTTCTAACACCTGATTCTGAACTTGCCTCATTTTCTTCACAGTTTGGTGTTTTTTTCCTGTGAGAAACTTGGCAAATACTTTTTTTTTTCCCTTTTTCCTTATTACTATTTGAAATTCATAGGCAGTAGCCTAACAGAAGCAGCAGGGACTACCAAAATATAAAACTGCAATAAAGTGTATGTTGTCCATACCTCAGTGCTTTTCTTAATAGATCAGACAGATCACCAAAGAGGCAAAATGAAATCCCACAGTAAGTCGTATGGTAACAATAAGCTCCTTTGTAATGAAAAGATACTGGGGTTTGTTACCCATAGACACAGCAGACTACTTCCATTAAAAGTAAACTTACTGCTATAAAGTGTTGCCTATTCCCACACACATTAGATTTGCTAATTTCGAAAGCCTTTCAGAAGATATTAAAGGAAAGAAATTGTTTAAACTTGGAAATTAAGCCTTTGTAAGGTTTATCGGTGCACAGCGCTTGCAAAGTGCCACGGCTGGTATTAATATAAATGTGGTTGGTGCTTTTTGCCTCTTTACTGGGAACACACGTCTTGATCTAAAACCCTCTGAATTCATTGGAGGGCTTCCTAATGCGGGCTCCAGCCTTGGAATTGCATTGAAGTCTGGTTTTTTTTAGGTGTGGTGAGTTGTTTGTTTGGGGTTTTGATTTGGTTTTTTTGTTTCATTTAGGGTTGGGTTTTTTGGATAGAGGCAGAAGCTATTTCTGGCTGATTTGGCACACCGATGGGGTACCTTTTTCCAGTTTAGATTTATGGGTTTGGATCAAATCCTGTATATTTTGGAGCTTTTAGGATAAGAAGAAATTGTGCTAATAAGGAAAGCACGTGCGCACGTGTGTATGTGTACACTTATATATGCACGCATATACACATATTGTGTGTGTGTGTTTCTATTCATTGCCTCCCAAATTGCTTCTTAGTCCTTTGTGCGGTTTGGAAGGAGTTTTGCTCTGCACCCACTGGACTTTGACTTCCAGCATGGATTTAGACACGCCGAGGTCCTTAGGCACATTGCGGCATGCACAAGTCGCCTACCCAGATGGCAAACTAAATTAGCTGGTTGCGCTGCTGTTTAGCTAAGCTGGACACATAAAATTAATTCACTGCAAGGCAGATTTTCTTCTCTTTCCTCTGGTCTGGCTGGTGTTTAAATCCTAGAGCAAAGCTCTATAGATTCTTTATATATAAATATGTGGCATCCTAATTATTTTTATATAATCTGGGTTAAATATCTGCAGTAAAATACTTGCTTTTGTTTGATATCACATGAGAAAGCTAAATCACCTTGGTGCTGAGATTTGCTTTCTCTCTCACTGTCTACTGTGTTATATTGTGCTTTATGCGGTTGATAAAGACATTAGATAACTTAGAACCAATAATAAACGCCTCTAGGTGCCAGTAGATTTCCCTTATTTCCTCCAGTATTTTTAGTTATTTTTTTTAAAAATTATTGCTTCAGATCTTGGGTCTTGTTATTGCTTAATCAATTACTTTGGAGAACCCTCCATTTTCCAGTGTCTTATAATTAAAGCCCTCAGTCAGTTTGTGTCTTTTTCTCATTAAGCCAAATAATCTTTTCACCCTCTTCTTCTGAAGGGTGCTTTCTAGGCTTCTTGGCAGACCCCTGTATGTCTTTTTTTTTTCAGTGTCTTTCAGATATTTGACATAAATTTAACTACAGAGAGCATTACTTAAACCAATATTGCAGCAATTTTCTCTTACCATTTCCCACCATGCCTGGGGCTCTGCCAATACTGATACTTTAGCAAAGCTTTGTAGAGAGGCACAGTTTGCAGGATCAAAACAATTTTTTTTTGTTGAATATAAATAATTATTTGAATCTCATAAACTGGTTCAAAAACGACTGTCCTCCTAGAATCGGTTCGATCAGTGTAGTGCAGCTTGCTTGTGTATTTAGGACAGAACTTTTTAGCAGGAGTTTAATTTTATACAGAGATAATGACATGTCCTATTACTGCATGAAATTCCATGGGGTTTATGCTCTCAGTTCCACAGAGGTTTTGGCTCTTTTGGAGTATCGTGAAGCCATTCTTTCAGATGTCTTATCCCTCCCTGCCTGTAGAGGCTCTCAAGCAGTCCACTCCTTTTGCAGTAGATGCGAGATGTAAACTCAGGAGAATTAATTCAACTTTTATGTATTTCTTCTCATTACAGTCGATGGACTAGGTTGAGCCCTTCCAGACTTTATTCCAGGTTTTGTTGTTTTCTGAGAGAAGTGACAAACAGTTTGTGTGGGCTGCATGAATTTGGTATTCTGATATAATCACTTGATTTGAGATAGTCACTTCAGCCTTAAACTTCCTCTGTGTTATTGCCCTGTGAAATTAAAAGATGAGTAACAATATTTGGAGGAAGAGATGACAGTATTTTAATGCAGGTCCATGTAATATGTTGAATTACTTCTGTCTCGTACCCCTAAGTGTTTGAAAATTGTTGAAGAGTTGGCTAACTACATTTTGCTCCATCTCTTCGAGAAAATGGGCATTGCATGTAGAAGCTGTGCAGCTCTTATCTGAGGATATGATTGCTTCTGAACAGCCGATTGGATTATGGGGTCAGCTGGCAGATGTTCTTGGCTGTGCAATGCATGTTAAGAGAGGTGTAGCATTTACATCTTTCTATTTCTGCTCTTATTTGAATGCACTTACACAGCATGCAGTTGCTAAGCTATTTAATATGTAGTTCTACATGATGAAAGGTTAAATATGAGTTATGGGAGGTTTATTGCTTGAATATTCTTTTATAGGTTTTTAGGATTACTACAAGAAAATGCATCTTATTTTAAAGACTCATGAATTCCAAGGATTATCTTTTTATTGATTGCTCTAATATATATTCTTGTCAAGGTTTTCCCTCCTTCTCCTTCCTCCCCCTCTCTCCCTTACCTGGTCCTGCTAAAAGACAAATATCATAGCAAGTAGTTTATTCCCTTTATATATACTATATATATTTATGCAAACATTTTTAAGGGATTGGGAGCATTTGTAAAGGCAGGCATAGCAGGAAAAACATGTAAAGTATTTGAAATTTAGACTTACTGCTTTCTTCAAATGAATATTTTATTCTTGATGACATTTTCTGGTGTTCACTCTAGAATATGAGAAATATGGATATCTTGCACATTACAATTGCAAGTACTTTTCCTGAAATTGCATGCAAAAGTTTAACAAAAGGGAAAAGGAGGGCAGTAGTGCAGTTACAGATCACACCTCTCAGAAACAGGTGTGAAGATGCGTGAATTTCTGTTAACCTTTTCATAGAAAATGACTGATTTAGTCCTACTCAGGCTTCAGAGAAAACAAATTTTTTTTTTTTGACCAACAAAAATGTGTCAAATTTATTTTCAAAAGTGAAAATCTTACAAAATTATAGGCTTTGAAAACTCGCCATTAGAATGTACAAGACTGAATGGTCTCAGAGATTGCTGTTAACTATAGAAGTCACTGTCCCTTGCGAGGCAAAGCTGGGCTTGGGCTAGAGATGGAGAGGGGATGTGTGCGTGATCTTTCCCCGTTTCTGATCTGTAATGTTAGGAAAGGTCTGTTCAGGAAGGGTCTTTTGTTAAGATGTTTCCAGGGCTTTTCATACTTTAATTCCTCAAAAAACCCACAAAGAAAACCAACACAGTAGTACGCAGACTGAAGTTTGACTTGCTGACATTCAGTAGCCATTCCTCTGGGCAATTTTGGCTCACATTTGGCAAGCTAAGTTTCCATGATCCAAAAATAGCCGTAGACTGTGTCAGAGGAGCTCTGCCTATGGAAGAGTAACGTAGCATGGCTTATCACAGGACACTGCAACGAAACAATGTCCGCTCTCAGAGCATTAATTTTGTATACAATAAAGTTTCTGAATAAGCAATGTATAACACTACTGTATTTCTCCTGTTTTCCTTCCTTCAGGTTGTATTCCTGTCCTTTGCTGACACAAAATATTTGCAACCTTTCATTTCTCTTTTGTCTCCTATCTGACTGTGAATTATTAAAATAGCATTTATTCTCTTAATCTTGAGTGTGTCTGACTATGAGTTTATTTTCATGCTTTGTTTTGGTGTAATACTTGGTTGTATTCTTTCTTTACACAAGTATGTCTTTTATATGTACA